CTAAATTTGTCACACCCCCAACTCCCCTACCAATTATCTAAAAGGCGTGGCTAGGTGCATCACAGTTTAGAGACCGACGTCTCAAATTTACTCATATTTTTACATAACCAATATATAATAACATATGAAATATAAAGTACATACAATAAAATTAATGAAGATAATTATTAAAAAAATCACAAAATATTCGCGATGTCATTTACCCCCTAATAGCCACCATATCCCTTAATTACAATAAAAAAAAATTCTATAATTTTTGTGTCACACTTGAGCCTTTTTCCGAGAGGAATCAACGGTTTCTTTATCAGCACTATCATCGCTTTTACCCGTCATGGCATGAAATAATAACAACGTGAGTCGAAGCTCGCTAAGTAGGGTGATGCACGTGAGACGCAATGCAATCCTATCACCTAGCCTTTCTCATTGATTTTAATTCGGATATCCTAGGTATTAGCAAGTCCGTTCCATTGTCATTCCTCGGTGATTACTAAATCGCTTATCGCTAGCAACAAAATTATCCCTTGTTGTAGCACACGGTTAGAGGAATTATCTATCGCCTAACGAGTGTATTCAATTAATAGAGTGTGCACATAGCTTCATTGCTAATACCCATTTAATCCAATTAGATTATCAAAACTATCCAATTTTTAAACCATGTCGGTTACCAACCCTTATCGTTTCTCGACTCAATTGTGTTTCTCAAGTCAAACCACCTCCAAATGCATATGATGCACGTGCTGATTCATTTACCATATTTCACCAAATCACGGTACCAACCCCTTCATTTCCATACAACACTCGAATCATCGTGGTCATACAAGGAGTACAAGACCTACCTATTTGGGTTAATCGGTTTCTATATTTGAGTCTTAGGAATGTGTTAGAGCACATTCGAAGTGTGATTCCCTCCTAACCCAAAATTGAGCCTTAATAGCCGAATTTTGCTTCTAATAGATCTAGGTCTTAATTTTAATTTTTCTTGTAATCTTACATTTCCATACTTTATTTTATACTTATTTAGGTGTCACTGGACCTTTACTTATGTTGTTGGATGATTGGAATTCAATTTCTAAAAATTAGGATTTAGGTCATGTGTTTCCTAGTCTAAACCAAAAGTTGCGTTTTTCTTGAAATATAACCTTTCTACACTTCAATTTATACTTGTTTAAGTGTATTTGAACTGTAAATTCTCAAGTTGGATGAATGGAACTCCAAACCCAAATTTTTGGGTTTTAGGCCGAATGGGCCCAAAATGGATAAAAGATTTTCTTTTATTTCTAGGTAATTTCTTTTCATCCTAACTCACTACTTTCTACTTCAATGGGTTACCAAGGAGTTCTAGATCTTTAGTTCCATAAAAAGAAATCCAAACTTGGCCATTTTGGTACCTAGGCTGAATGTTTTTCTTAAGGATATCCAAGTCTATTTTGTTTTCATCCAAGCCCATCCACACACATGTCCGAGCCCATGTTATTGTAACCAAACCAAACTCATCTATACATATATAAACATCCATCACACATAGATCTCATATGGATACATGAACATGCCAACCATCCATCATCATACTTGTACAATCCAACATAAAGTTCACCATTAACCGCACATCAAGCCATCTAACACATATTATAAACATAATCAACATAAACCAACATACACAACATAATATAAAGTCTTCACCAATCACCCTATTTAAGCACGTACACAAGAAATATAGAGCATAACATAAAATAACAAGTAACCTACTTACTTTGCTTTAGCTTTCCTTAAGATTGTCTAAGCTTTCCCTTTTTCTTTTTCTCCTTTCTTTCTTTTCTTTCTTTTTTCATCTTTCTTCCCTATCAAAGCCGTTTCTCTCCTCTCTTTTGGTAGCTATGGTTTTGTCTAGCCAAAAATAGCAAAATTTACATCTTTCTCCCACTTTTATATCACATTTTTAGACCACTTTTCCCTTCGTTTATGAGTATTACATATGTCAAAATTCTATGGTTTAAAATGTCAATTGATGGAGACAAAAAGGGAGGCAAGTTGGCAAAGTGAAAGTCAAAGTGGATGGTGGTAGATTTGATGTCGGATCAATAATTAAAGATGGGCAACTAATAGATAACTAAACTAACCAACTTCCTAAGGTCTTTTAGTTCTCAAAAATTCAGCCCATTCACCATGTTTGAAAAATTCTTTCACTTGCATGGTAATTTTAAATATAATATTATGCAAAAATAAAGAATGGCTAGTTAAATTCCCACGGAGGTTATTCCTATGAACACTTCCATAAACCTTAGACATTTTAACACCACAAAATAGAAAAGAAATGGCACATAAATCATACCCACATAATTATGGATATTCCAGGAGATATTTTTCTCGAAAATTAAAATTTCGACATGTCTAAAAATATATTATTATTATTATTCATAACTCCTCACGTAAACACGAACCATGTTACCATCTCCAAATATTTAAAATGGCACGTAAATCACACCTAATGCTTCATATATACGGATATAATATATCGGTACGTATAGCTCGTGGTTAAGGAGTTTCACTGGGGTTACAAAAGCTATTGAAGAATGTCGACATAGAGATGATTGGCCTAAGTGAAAAAATACAATTTAGGAAGAATTAAAGTTTTTCACAAAACGAACAGCTTTTGAACCCATAGTTAAAACACTTGAAGATGTTAAGCCAGTAGGATACAAATGGATATTTGTGCAAAAATGAAATGAAAAAGATGAAATTGTGAGACACAAAGCAAGACTTGTAGCGCAAGGGTTTTCACAGAGACTCGACATTAACTATGAAGAGACATATTCTCCCGTAATGAATGCAATTACATTCCGTTATCTTATTAGCTTGACAACATGTGAAAAACTTTATGTGCATTTAATGGATGAATCATAGCCTATTTATATGGGTCACTCGATAATGATATCTATATGAAAGTCCTAGAAGACTTAAAATACTTGGAGCATGTAAAATACATTCTCGAGAAATGTATTCGATTAAATTACAAAGATTTCTATATGGATTAAAACAATCTGGACATATGTGGTATAATCTTCTTAGTGATGATTTATTAAAAGAAGGTTATAAAAATAACCCAATTTGTCCATGTGTCTTTATAAAGAAATTCAAAAAGAGGTTTGTGATAATTGCCGTATATGTTGACGATTTAAATATAATTGGAACTCTTGAAGAGATATTAAGTGTCATAAATTATTTAAAAAGAGATTTTGATATGAAAGATCTTGAAAAAACAAAATTTTGTCTAAGCCTACGAGTTCGAACACTTAAAAGATGAAAATTTTATTCATCGATCAACATATATAAAAAAAAAAGTACTACAAAGATTCTACATGGATAAGGCTCATCCATTGACCAGCTCAATGGTAGTTCATTCACTTGATGTTCAAAAGGATCCTTTTCGACCTCGAAAAAATAACAAAGAACTTTTTGATCCCGAAGTACCATACCTTAGTGTAATTGGTGCATCAATGTATCTTGCTAATAATACTCGATCCGATATAGCATTTTCCGTAAATTTATTAACAAGATATAGTTCCGCTCCAACACGGAGACATTGGAATGAAATTAAACATGTACTACGTTATCTCCGAGGAACAATTGATATGGGCTCATATTACTCTAACAAATCAAAGACTGGATTAATTGGTTATGCAGATACAAGTTATTTATCCGATCCACACAAAGCTCGATCAAACCGATTATTTATTTACATATGGAGATATATCTATATCATAACATTCTATGAAGCAAACTATAGCCGCCACATCTTCAAACCATACGTAAATACTAACAATTCATGAGACAAGTCGAGAATGTATTTGGTTAAGATCAATAATCTATCATATTCGAGAGACATGCTTTTTATCCATTAGTAAAGAAGTTCCAATAGTTTTGTATGAAGATAATACCGCTTGCATAGCTTAATTAAAGGAAGGATACATCAAAGGTGACGAACGAAGCATATATCACTAAAATTATTTTTCACACATGATCTTCAACGAAATGACGATATTAATATTCAACAAATTCGATCAAGTGACAATCCAACGATTTGTTTACTAAGCCATTACCTACCATAACTTTTGAGAAGATGATTCACAAGATTGGAATGCATCGTCTTAAAGATCTTAAATAATGTCCTTAACGGAGGAAAACCAAAATGGGGATTAATGTGTGTAAGGAATGCTATACTCTTTTTCTTTTATTAGGATTTTTTTCTACCGAGTTTTTTCCTGCTAAGGTTTTAACAAGGCATGTTCCTTGTACAATGGACATTCGAGGAGGAGTGTTATGAAATAATGAATGTCTATATAAATGTCCATCTACTTTTCATATCTCCACTACTCATGATATTTAATGTGATTCAATTCACTTTTTAATATGAGAAATTGAAGGAGTGATGCAATTGATGTACTTTTAATTATTCATAGTTCCTTCCAATTCTCATCTCAATTTGAATCCTATAAATAGTCCCGATTGTTCATTAATTAATGTACTAGTTCTTAGAGAGATTAAGAGAACAATTTGAAGTTCTTATCACTCGTATTCACTTTATAATGAATTCTTTTTTCTTTTCTTTTTTTCTCGTCATCCTTCCTTTTAAATTCTCCTATTATTTTTATTTTTTTACAACAAATTAATAATTTTTAAAAATTATATAAAAATTTAAAAAATTATGTAAAAAATCAATGACAACGCTGTGTTTGGAATTAAGATTGTAATACTCCTGCATAACAAAAAAAATATCTTCTAGATGAAAAAAAGTTTTTTTTTATTTTTATAAAAAACAAAAACTATTTTTTAAATCAAAAGGAAGTTTCTCGACGTCTCTTCTCGTTCTTTCCTCCCTCTCGATCTCTCTCCCTCCATTATTGTCCTACCCTCTCCTCGCTTTCTCTCTCTTCCTTTCCTTAAACGTCCCTTTAACAGAAACCGAACCTTCTAGAACTCCCACTCTTCATCAACCCGCGGCCATGGCGCCACCGTCACCGGTGGAGCAAAACAGCGGAGAAACTCCAGCAACCGTAGCACCAGCAGCAGGGGAAGCATCAAGATCAATACCAACACCATTTCTGACGAAAACATATCAAATAGTAGATGATCACACCCTAGACGACGTGATTTCATGGAACGAAGATGGATCCTCTTTTATAGTCTGGAATCCAACCGTTTTCGCCAGAGATTTGCTCCCTAAATACTTTAAGCACAACAATTTCTCTAGCTTCGTTCGTCAATTAAATACTTACGTATGTTCTAATTTCCTAAAATTTAATAAATTTTTTATCAGTAATTTCTATTAGTTTTTAGTTTTTATTTTTGTTGAATATACATATATATATATATATTTTTTTTGGATTATTTGTAGGGATTTAGGAAGGTAGTACCGGATCGATGGGAGTTTTCGAATGAATGTTTTCGGAAAGGAGAAAAGAATTTGTTATGCGAAATACAAAGGAGGAAAATGGCGACTGTGGTGGCGACGCAGCAAGTGGTGGCAGCAGCAGCAGCTGCAGCACCGGCAGCGGTGGTTCCGATGGTGAAAGTGATAAAGTCTTCGTCGAATTCTTCTTCGGATGAGCAAGTGATTTCGAGGAGTTCTTCTCCGGGGTTTTCGATGGAGTTATTAGATGAGAATGAGAGGTTGAGGAAGGAGAATGTGCAGTTAAAAGGGGAGTTGACGGAGATGAAGGGTTTGTGTGCGAATATTTCTAGTTTGTTGTCGAATTTTGCGAATTTGCGAGAGGGGAAGGAGATGAAGAAGGTGTTGGATTTGTTGCCGATGAAGGATGAAGTAGGGGAGGGATCGAGGATTTTTGGCTTTGAGGTTGGTGCGAAGAGAGTGAGGGAGGGAAGTGGAGATATGGAGGAGGACGAGGATGAGGGAGAGGTGGAGGACGGGACGCAATTGCGATTGCGGCAACCCGGTTGCGGTGGTCGTGGTTATGGGGTGAAACTTGAGGTAAATGTTTGTCAAAATGGAGATAGTAATGGTGGTGGTGATCAAGATGCACCATGGATCGAACAATGCCAGAGCTCTAATCAAAGGGTTTGCAATTGACAGAATTAGATTGTTAGGATTACTATGCCCTGAACACACCCTCAGAGCCGACTAGGCCTAGACAAAGTCTGTCCTGAACAAACACTCAGAGACGATTAGGCCTCGACAAAGTCTGCCCTGAACGCACACTCAGAGCCGATTAGGCCTCGACAAAGTAATTTAAACCTGTAATGGGACTATGGTTTAGCAGAAATGTACTAGATTACTGTAGATGGGGATGGATCAAATGCATGGAAGAGGAGAGGCAGCAAGTTTCGTTACAGTGATGGCACTTTCTGCTTTCTTTTATCAGTTATGTTATACTTTCCATTTAGCCCTTTAGCGAAAGAGATTGTCTTTTTTTTGTATTCTCTGTTTTTGCAGTGCTTTTTCGTCTGGGAACATGGAATCTGATCCTGATTCTGTGCTGTAGTTATCAAGGGCAAAGCAAACGTGTTAGGTGTGAAAAACGAGTGAAGAACTGTGCTGGTAGGCATCTGGCTACCATCAGCCACTCACTCTGGTTGGTTTGCTTGAAATATTAATTGCTTTCAGTTGATGATTACAGATTTTAATTTACTAGTGGAATTTGATATATGCATTGATTCATCCAACTGTCAATCTAAATTCGGATTCAATCGTCATCTTCAACTTTCCCTATTTTTTATCAACTCTATTATTAGTCAAGATCTATCGAAACAAATTTAATTAGTTTTGCCCAACTTTGTGATGTTTGAAACATGAAAGCACTATGTATAGAAATGATTGCAGGATTGACGGCAGAGGATACTAGAAAAAAGAGCAAACTTTTCTATCTTGAAATTTCTGGTGCAGGGCCCAGGAGTCGTATTTTGCAGCTTAATTGTGGGGTGTTTTTGTCTCATTCTAGAAGTTATAGCTGTGGATTTGGCTCTATCTGTTAATGGTTAGAACAAAAGATGTGTTTTTAGTAAAAGAGTTATGGCATAAAGGTTACAAAGAAATAAAAGCAACAGAATAGCTTTGAAATCAAACTTCTGTGGTTGTTGAATTTTTCACGTGGAATCCCACAACTATGGTTAGTTTTTTAGCCGAAAACCAGTAAAACCCAACCTTACGCTTAGAGTAAATTATAAGTTGGTCCCTCTAGTTTAAAAAACACACTAAAAATCCTTTTCAAAAAATTATTATTTATTTTTTTACCAGTGTTATTGATACTTAATTTAATATTATTCTTATTCTATAAATTTTTTCTTTTCTCATTAATTTTTCATTTTTTGATTTTTTTTCTTTTTCTATTTTTAAAATAAAAAGGACTAAATTATGAGTATATTTAAAAATATGAAAACTAAATACTTTGTTTTTAAAATGAGAATGATTAATCAATTAATTTTTTTAAAATGAGGGGCTAATTTATAATTTACTCCCTTAACGTTAGTAACAAATTATTAAAAAAAAAAAAAAAAAGGCTACATACTCGGTGGTACTGTGGATAAAGATTCATGTGGAATGTTTTATATGAATTGTTTAAAATAAATAAATAATAATTCAGTGGAGGACATGGCCTGACGCAATTGGCCCAATTGCATGCAAGCCTCCGAGAACAGGCCCCGCCCCGCTTTTTTCCCCCTTTAAGCCCTACTTTTCTTTTTCTTTTTCTTATTTATTATTATTATTATTATTGTTGTTTGGTTATCTTATTAGATTCTCTACCTTAAGTTTCAACACAATATCAAGACTGCCTTATAGTTTTGCTGGAGCTTGCCCTGTTTGTTTTTAGGTCCAACCCACTAGGGAGTGGTTGGGCTGCCCTGGAAAGACAAGGAGAGGAAATAAGTCCATGACCAATTATATTTTTGACATTTCCAAGAAATGTGTAGGTAATTTAATATATTAAATAAAAAAGGGAATCCCTTGTTAAGCTATTGGAAAAGACACCAAGGATGAGACTCATTTGACATCAAGGTTTTAGGTTCTAGTTCTGTCATGTTCATAATGTTTTGATCTCGGTATATATATAGTGGAATTTCTCCGTATAATGTTCTGGTCTCGGTATAAATATAGTGGAATTTATCAATGTTTTTATCTCGATATACATATAGATCTAGTGAAATTTCTTCGTATAATGTTTTGGTCTCGATATAGACATAGTGGAATTTCTTCGTATATACGTGGATGTGAAAAACATCATATTTTCCATTATATATGATAGAATCTTACGTGGATATAAAAGACATAATATTTTATATTTCACATACGTTAAAAAAATACATTAAATAAGAAAAATTTTATAATACATCGAGAGTAACTAATGACATGTACAATAGTTATTTCATAAGTCAACTTTGAGGAGAGAGATAGACACATAAAAAAGATAAAAATTACATCTATACCCATAAAAAATGCTAAGAAGATTTACACGTTCGCTCAATTTTTTTTTTCTCTCCTCTCTTCGTTTCTCTCTCTCTCACTGAAGTAACTACCGTACATACCACTAGTTACTCCCGATGTATTATAAAATTTCTCTTAAATAACATGCAAACTCGAATATTTTTTTTAATTATATTTACCTGATTATATTTCAAATTAAATATAGTTGAAAAAAAAAGTGAATCCAATTTTGAAAAAATAAAGTAAAATCGTAACATAGGGTACTCAATTCTTTAACTTTTTGATAAAAAAAATAATAATAAATCCATATTTTGAGACATGTAAAAAAGAAAGAAGACTTTCACGGATGGAAGACAGAGGGACTATAATTTTACTCAATAGAGTCAAAAGTTCTCTCTTTTTTTATCTAATCATATCATTAGATTCAGAGACAATGAAACACTTTAATAACCACAGTTTGCCATCAACTCCTAGCTGTTATCAAAAGTGATTCCCCAACTCTGCTTTCTTTTAGAAGTTAACAAGGATTGGGGGATCCAGAAGCCACGTGTAAGTAAAAGAACAAGGCTTCTGTTTTCTGATGCCTGCCTTGCGCAAATTATCAGGAGCCTGACCCTAAAATATTCATTGCTTCAGTAATGTTTTGCCACTATAAATTGAACATTGGCAGAGAAAATGACTGTAGACTGCACATTTTCAATGTTCACAAGGATACTCATGCAAGTTCTTATGACATTGAAAATCAACTCTGAAATTGAAACTATGAACTGAACAAGATTAGATTAGAAAGCATAAGACTTTAGTTAAACTTCAGATTCTAACTCATTTTCCTACACATGTGGAGGGGTTATTATGGCGATAAACTTAATATGATCAGAGACACAGAGATATCTAAACCTACTCATCTTTGATACCTTTCAGGAATTTCAACACTTTAAGCATAGTAGGTCTGTTTGCAGGATTATCGGACAGGCAAACAGCAGCAATCTGCAGCACTTGAAGCATCATCTGCTTGGAATCTGCACTAAGAACTGTTGGATCGAGAACATCAGCAGCCTGCCCCTTCTTAATCTTTTGAAACACCCAACCAACTAGGTTTCCCCCTTCAACCTCTTTGAAATCTGGTCCTGTTGGCTCTTTCCCGGTCACCAGTTCAAGCAGAATTACACCAAAGCTATAAACATCTCCTCTTATAGTGGACCTCCCACTCTGACCATACTCTGGTGGTATGTAACCAAATGTTCCTGCTATGTCAGTGCTAACATGAGTCTCACAAGCACTGATCAATCTGGCGAGTCCAAAATCAGCAACCTTCGGCTCGAAATCCTCGTTAAGTAGGATGTTGCTGGCCTTGATATCCCTGTGGATGATGTGTGGGGTGAATCCATGGTGGAGGAAAGCTAGCCCACATGCAGCACCAGTTGCAATTTTGAAGCGCTTGGGCCAATCAAGGATATCAAGAGCCCCACTTCGATTTCTTAGCCAAAGGTCTAAGCTCCCATTTACCATGTATTCATAAACAAGGAGCTTTTCCTCCCCAAAAGAACAATATCCCAGCAATGGAACAAGATTCTGATGCTTTACCTTCCCCAGCGTTTCCATTTCGGCTATGAATTCACGGTTACCCTGTGTCTTGGCTTCACTCAGCTTCTTGACCGCAACTGTTTTGCCATCAGGTAGAGTTGCCTTGTATACAGTACCAAAACCTCCATCTCCAATGATGTTTGTCTTGCAAAAGTTGTTGGTGGCTTCAAGAATATCGACTAGAGTTATTTTCAAAAGAGGCTGCTCAAACATGGCTATGTTGATACTCAGAGGTTCCTTCGATCTGCTGCTGCCACTGCTCAAGAAGTACAAGTGTTGATCAATAAAACTGTTCAGTTTTTTTTCCTCAATTTCCTCAGCATCACCTTGCCCACTGTCTCTCGTAATCCATTTTCGCAGAGCAAAGGCTAGAATAAGAGTGACAATCATACATCCAACTGCAATCCCAGTAAGTCCCCAAGCATTCAAAACATACGACCTGTCAAAGCTTTTGATCCTGCAATCTAAACCCATGATTCTCCCACAGAGATCTTTGTTGCCAGCAAGTGTTAGTTTTGACAGGTTTAGACAAATACCACTTCTCGGTACAGGTCCTTCTAAACTGTTTTCTGCCAAATTCAAATAAAACAGATTGACCAGGGAACATATCTTCTCTGGAATTTGCCCTGATAACCTATTCCCTGAAACATCAAAATATTCGAGTTGCATCAAATTTCCAAGCTCTAGAGGAACTCCTCCTGTGAATTTATTTCCATGAAGATCCAAATATGTCAAGTATGAAAGATTGCCAAATGACCGCGGCAAGTCTCCATCAAAGAAATTATTACTCAAATTCATAGTTTCAATCTTCCATGCCACGGAAATTGATAGGAGCTCATCTAAAGGCCCAGATAGTCGGTTCTGCTGAACATAAAGCCCCACAAGATTCAGCATTCCTGATAGAGAAGAAGGGAGCTCACCATCAAGCTCATTATAGCTCAAATCCAAGTGAGTAAGCTCTCTCAAGTCTCCAAAACTACGAGGAACCGGACCATATAACTGATTACCAGTCAAATTCAGCTTCACCAAGCTGCCCAAGCCACCTAATCTCCCAGGGATAGTTCCTGAGAGCCGATTATTCCCCAAATACAGGCCCTGAAGCCGGGAAGAGTCGCCAAGTTCCGGTGGAATGGAGCCAGTTAACATATTTCCAGACAAATCCAAGGTTGTAAGATTGAGCAACCTTGAAAGTGACCCTGGAATTTCACCAGAAAGCTTGTTATTGTTGAGTACGAGATCCACCACAACCACGAGGTTCCCCATCTCCTCAGGTATTGGACCAGACAGCATATTGTGCGACAAATCAAACACGCCAAGGTGTTGAAAGAAGCTAGAATCAGGAATACTAACTTCACGAAAATAAAAAGAAGGCTTCGACGGAATGGACCCTGATAACTTATTGTGAGAAAGAACCAAGCAATGTAATTGAATCAAATCTGCAAGTTTCTCCGGTATTGACCCAGAGAGCTGATTATTTCCCAGGTCCAATGTGGTGAGTGCAGCAGAATTTCCGAGCTCCACAGGAATGTTTCCTTCCAACATATTAGAGTTCAAGTTAAGCACTGATAGAGCTGTGAGATTGCCAATCTCCTTAGGGATAGTACCGCCTAACTGATTGTTGCTAAGCACCAGCCTCTCCAACTGAACAGCATTGCCAATCTCCACAGGCAGAGAACCCTCCAAGAAATTATTTGCAGCAGAGAATTCCATCAAGTTCATGGATTTCCATAAACTCACAGGTATGGTGCCCGAGAAATTGTTAGAATCAAGGTCAAGCACCATCAAAGATGGAAGCTTCGCTAAATACTCCGGAATCGACCCATTAATCAGATTATTCATCAAAACCAGCTGGCTCAAATTAGTACACTTCAAAAACACATCCTCGATAGCTCCAGTCAGGAAGTTGCCATCAAGATCAATCTCCATAAGGTCAACAGCCTTACAAAGCTCTCTAGGTATCTCCCCACCCAGCAAGTTACTACTCAAACTTATCACCCTCAACGCCGAACAATTCCCGATTTCAGGTGGTATTTTCCCTGAAAATCTATTATTTGAAAGCAAAAGTGATTCCACTTGGTTCCACTTTCCAAGCCAAGTAGGCAATGGTCCAGAAAGCAGATTCTTATCAGCAGAAAATGTCGTCATGGGCAACATAGAAAGCTCTTCTGGCAGAACCCCAGACAGAGAATTGAAAGACAACATCAAAGTCTTCAAATTTTTGCAATTCCCAAGTTCACCAGGTATAGAACCATTAAGCTCAGAGTAAACAAGATTCAATATTGACAAGCTCTCCATTTTTCCTATAGACTTTGGTATTGAACACTTCAATGGATTATATGAAAGGTCAAGTTTGCTCAATGACTTCAAATTGGAAATTTCTTCAGGCAAAGGACCTGTGATTGCACATGAAGGTGCATAGAAGTTTTCAAGTCTTGAAAGCTCACCAATTTGTGGTGGCAAAGGACCAGAGAACAAGTTGACACCAATGTAAAGATCGGACAGGTTTTTAAGGTTGCCTATTTCAGGTGGAATTGGACCAGAAAAGGAATTGTTTGATATATCTAAGGATATTAAAGATTCAAGTTTGAAGAGAGTTACAGGAGAACCTGACAGAAGGTTGTTACCAAGGTCTAAAAACTGAAGCCCATTCAACTCACCGAGCTGACTCGGCACGGACCCAGTGAGTCCACTGCTTGAGAGGTCAAGGGTGTTCAGCTGGGACAACTTCCCAACCTCCGGTGGAATTTTCCCTGTGAACGAGTTCGGACCGAGCTGTAGGGTTTGTAGTTGAGTCAACAGGCCGAGTTCGCTCGGTAACTCTCCTGATAGCAGGTTGTCACCTAAAGCAAGGTGTTTCAAGCGTTTAAGATTGGAAATTTGATGTGGGATTTCGCCAAAAAGAAGGTTAAAGGATAAATCAAGGACGGTCAAGGAAGAAAGAGAGAAAAGAGAAGGGTAGAGTGGGCCATGAAGGGTCTGAGTTGAGAGAACCAAAGAAACAACTCGACCGAGTTGGCAAGAAACGCCAACCCAACTACAGTGATGACTCGTCCTGTTCCATGAAGAAAGAAATTTAGGGTTTTTTAGTGCAGTTTTGAAGGAAATGAGAGATATCCTATCTGTGCTTTGGTCTTCAGTGTACCTTGAAACCAAAAGGAGAGGCTGTGTTAATACCAGAAGGCAAAAAAACACAAGCTTGAAAGACATTGCCATTGTTGAAGAAAATAGGAGAAATTTTTTTGAGGCTTTACATGGAGAAGATGAGAGGTAGGAGATGAAAAGAAAAACCCATTTGAGAGAGAAGAATGTGACAGTAGTGAGTAATGAAAATAGTGGAAGTGAGAAGAAGATCAAACGCCATGGTCTTATTTGAGAGGGAGAAAGGCTGTGTCAGAGAAACTGTGAAAGGCATGCAACTCACATGACATGAGGTGTCCCGTAACTGTCTTTTTGTTTTTGAGTCAACAATAATCTAGTCCCTAATTTGTTTCTAAAATTTTAATTTACTCCTTTTGTTTCAAAAAATATGAGTTTGTTTTTCGACCAAATTTTGAGTTTTAATTCATTATCAGATAGGTTAAAGTTTTTCAAATTTTCTTTGACGTCATCTTCCTTCGTCTTCTTTTCTCTTTAAAAATTAACTTTTAAATTTTAAATTAAAATATTAAATCCATTAAAAAACTAACATAAATAAATAAATAAATATGTCATCAAAATGTATAATTTTCATGTTAAGATTGTATTTCTTTACCTTAAAAAAAATAAATTAAGGTAAATTTTGATTTCACGACGACTGAAGTAATATAGCTTTTGGGTTATAAAAATAACTAAAATCAAGGGGCACCTAACCAAAAAGATGATTTTTTTTATATAGTTATTTATGCTTTATAAATAAAAATATAAAACATGGCAACGTATAAACTAATAAGGAAGAATTTATGGGATTTTAAAGTTTAAAGTACCTTTCAATATTGTTTAATGAAAAAAATAAAAATAAAACTCAATTAATAGATAGAGAAAAACAGAGAGTTTGGGTTAACAGCAGTAGCTACTAGTCAACTTAATAAGATTAAGAATAGCTTAGCACATCAAGCAATTATAAATAGATCTCATTTAGGGACTAATTGTGGATTTCTTGAAACTAATGGACTAAATAAAAAAATCTCTAAACTTAAGGGGCTGATCTATACTCTTAACCTTTTTTTATAATTTAATCACGAGAAAACCTTATAATGGTTTAATGATATATTTTTACTCATAAAGTATTTAAGTTATGTAAAATAAGATACGGATTACAAATTTGGTGTGTTCTGTTCTCAGACTATATATTATTTTTTTATCTGATTTTTTTATCAGATAAAGTATATTCTTTAATCCTATTGAACTGTTAAAAAAATATGTTGTTTTGGAAAAAAAAAAAAAACTACACATAAAACTATTTTTATAAAGAAAAAATTATTAGAACCTTTCAACTTTTAAATTAAGATTTTATGAACAACGCATCGTTTATTATTTGCATTTTTAAATAATTTTTTTAAATAAATTTGCGTAAAAATAAAAATCAAAACGAGTTTTTCAATTAACAATTTGAAATTAGCAATAATTTTTATGTGGCTTTTCTGTACAATGAAATATTAGATGGGGAATTATGATTATGCATTACTGTTCAGAAAGGAGTAGATAAATTACTTTAATTTCATTTATAAGATGGTAGTTTTCTGCTTTCCATTAAATGGAAGCGTTGAAATGGAAGGGGCAGTCGGTGATTATTATGGTTATTAATTAAACCTTGAATGACATTACCATTATTCTTCTTCCTACTTATTTTATACATGAAAAGTTTATATTAATGTAGGAGAATAAAGCAAGGAGCAATTAGGAAGGAACAGTCCAAAGTCGATAGTCCATCCGTAAATAAATATTGTTTTACAGGGTTATTCAAAATTCGATTTTTATGATATGTATTTTTTAAAAAATTTATTATCAGTATTCGAAACCCTATACTCGTTAAATGTTATTTTTTTATAACCGACAAATTCAAGATTTTTAGCTGAATTAATTTGATGAAATTTGAACTCGTGATCCTTTGTTTACAAGAGATTATTATTATTGAATTACAAGCTATTTGATGCGTTGGAAAGTATTTTTTAACTACGTTTAATAAAAAATTAATTTTAAAAGAGTGACTAGGAAGAAACATTAAGAAGTCAATATTTTATCTATAAACGAGCATTTATTTATAAATTAGATTTAAAATTCGATATTTATAATAATTATTTTTAAGAATTTATTATTAGAATACTTGTAATTGTATTTTGGTAATTGCATTTTAACATGTTTAGTGCTAAATTAATTTCGAGATGCGTGAAAGATAAATTCTTATTGCAAAAAAAAAAAAAAAAAACTAGGAAGGGACACCCTGCCCTACTTTCTGAGAATCCGGGGTTTGTCTCTTTGCAAATATATTCTCTCCTTTTGCTCTTTATTCTCCTTTCTGTGTGTTCTTTCACATGCTTTGTATGATGGTGATTGCATGTCAAAACAATAATAATAAATAAATAGAAGGTATATTCAACCTATATAGTTTTATAGGGAAATGATGTATTTCTACGAGCATGGTTTTTCTTTCTTTTTTTATTATTTTTTTATTTTTATAGGGTAGCCAATAGCCACTATCTATGGTGCATGTTGAGAGATTGGAAATTTGGATTTTTATTTATTCTTTTCTTCTTATCTTTTCAATTTTTTAAACCAAACACAAAATCCATGACAATAAATAACGAGATTTCACCTATAACCTAGTCTACGCTACCACTCTTACAATAGTCTCTTTATATATATATATATATATATATATATTGACAAGGAAGGGATGTATTTTCAGTGGTTATTTTTTAAGAAATATTTAAATATTATTATAGGTGAGTATGTATTGTTTATATAAGTGGAGTTCTAGTTAATTTTTTTTTTAATTTAACTAGAGATTTTATTTAATATAAACACACACAAAAAAATTCTTATTTATTAGTCCTTGAAGATTTATCAAGATCTACAATTTTGTCAAGATACGCTAACATGTATAAACAACACACATATCTCAGAAGTACAAATTTATAAATTTTGATAAATATATTAATTTGTTTTTATACAATAGTTAAAATCTTTTTATATATATATATTTTTTAATTACATCCTATTTGTTTTTAAAATTTTTTGACATATTAAATATTTTTTTATTAATTTTTTTATTACGAACAAAATATCCTTAAATCATGTATAATTTTTAATAAATATATCAATAAGTTATTATATAATATTTAAAATTTTTATCTATTTTTAAATTTTCAACTGTATTTTATTTGTATTTAATTTTTTTAAAAATATTTAATATGACATTTCGCTCAAATTTTTTGACAGTACATAAATTTTTTAACCCACATGCCATTTACCAAAATGTAAAAAATAAAAAAAATAAAAAATCTTATATTAATCCAATTTTCATTACTGATTCTTCAACTACCCTACAAAATCCCATATTTTCATTTGCTGGCAATGTGACATGACCGAAGCATATATTTTCTTCAGAGAAGGCAAGTCCAAAACCCCAGACTTTGGCATGGATAGCGATGAAATGACCAAACAACCCCTTAAAGGCGATTTGGCTCCTTCTGGCATTTAAATTGAAGTTTCAGCCTCTGTTGCTATCTGCAACTCTGCAAGCAGACGAAGTACACACAAATTTGGGCTGTTGCTACGGACTTGTGGGGCTGTTCTTGTCTTTTCAAAGGACTGTACTGTTCTTGATATTGACTTGCTCGAAGGGAATAGAGAAAGAGATATGGATAACACGAGAGTTGGAGAGAGAGAGAGAGGGACCTGAGGAGTGAGGTGTCTCTTCACAGGAAGCAAGCCAAGGATGGGAATCTTTGCACCTCCATTGCATTTACACCTCCATTGCATTTATTTTTGCAAGCTGCCTCTCTTGTCTTGTCTTGGGGTCAATAGCATAGGTCGTCCAACTATTATTTACATTTTCTTCATATGTTGTTCTATTTTTTTATTTATTTATAACGTATTTTCTTAATATGGTTTTTCGATGGAATTTCGTTTAATTTTCTGATTACAAATAACAAATGATATTCCACGTACGATAGAAGTGTCACGTGTAATGACACATCATATGAAATTGACACGTTTTGAAAAAAATTATTATTATTAGTTTTATTTTATTAATTTTTATTGATTTCTCTTTTGTATTAATGTTAATTTCATATGACATGTGTGACAATTTACTTGACATGTTTCTCTAATGTGAAATACCATTTGACATTGGTTATGGAAAAATGAAACGAAATTCTATAGAAGAAATTACATTAAAAAATATCTAAAATAGAGGATTGTGATGGAAAAAAATAGGGTTAAAGGTTCAAAATACATTTTTATTGTTTCAAATGTCTTAATCGTGTCTCTTTATTAAATTTTTTAACTATCATGTCCCTCTATTTCTAATTACATTTATATTTAATCCCTTTAATCACGTTTTTAAGTAACATAAACAAAAATAACAACCTAAAAAATGTCAAAAATTATCTTCGTTGCTTTAAAAAGTTATGAAAATGACTAAATGCAAACACAACTAAGAATAGAGAAATATGATAGTTGAAAATTTTAATATAGTGACATGATTAACACATTTGAAATAGTAAAGAAATATATTGAACTTTTAACCTAAAATAAATATAGTCATCATGTTAAGAAAATATTAGAAAAAAAAAGAGATGAATTATGCTATTAAACTTTTTTTTTCTTATCTACAATTCAAGCCATTTGCTTCTCTTAGATTTAAAAACTTGAAAAGGATGCGCTTGAAGTTGTAGTCTAACGAAACGAGGGTTTACCTCTTGAGGATCACTTGGATTCGACTCTCTTTGCCCATGCTTGTCACCCCCGCGGTGTCTTACATGCCTCCGGGTTTACAGTGGTGTTTAGTGAGCTTCGTGGATTAGTCTCGGTGCGCTCAAGCTAACCTGTATTACAAAAAAAAAACTTGAAAAAGACAAAAAAAAAATTATTGTTTGATCAAAAAAAAGAGAGGAAACATAATTCAGTTGAGTAACAGTGGAAAGCTGGTAATCAAATTTATTATGTTGAGAGCCTTGGGGCTAAGAAATCTGTTATTGATGAAGGAAAGGAAAAGAAAAGGCTGGTTTTTA